CCTTTTCCCATTTGCATTGGCTCACTTATTTGTTTTAAGATTTTATTTATTTATTTGAGAGAGAGAGAGCACGAACAGGGGGAGAGGCACAGGGAGGGAGAAGCAGGCTCCCAGCTGAGTAGGGAGCCCAGCTCAGGGCTTGATCGCAGGACTCTGGGATCATGACCTGAGCCAAAGGCAGACGCTTAACCACTTAACCATCTGAGCCACCCAGGCACCCCTGCATTGGCTCATTTAATCTTTGCAATGACCCCTGGAGGGAAGAACTCTTACTACCCCCATTTTTTGGATGAGGAGGTTGCAGCCCGAACATAGTAGGTAACTTGTCCGAGATCTCTCTGCTGGGTGGGGCAGAGCTGGATTGGCATTTGGATCTGTCTGACTCTAGAGCCAAGTCTTCACCTACTACCCTCATGCCCTTCTTCACTTGGTGTTTAGCCTCAGGATGACGGGATCCGTGTAGGGTTCAACACAGGGGGGAATGACGTGGTGTGACTTACGTTTTAGAAAGATGTGGGGTTTAAAACGGCACAAGCTCAGCATAAAGCCTCTGACAGTTGAAAGCACTTTCGTCCTCAAGGAAAGAGGCTGAGCGTCTGGAGAGCTGGGGAAGGGTAAGGGGGCGTGGCTGTGCCTCTGCTCAGGAGAAGGGACCTCGGAGGGGCACGTGCAGCCAGCGGCCTGCAGTTCCCTGAAAGGCCACCGGGTTCTCTGCTGCTTCCTCGGCAGAATGAGAACCAGAGGATGCAAGTTATAGGGAGAGAGATTTGGGTTGATGTTGCTAAGGACCGAACTTCGATGGCGCCAGGAAGGCACGGGCAGGGAGGACCCAGGACACCTATTAGGGAACTCGTCTGAAGTCTTATCTCTGGGGTTTGGCATTTCTGATTTCATTTGGGTATGTAGCCTGGTGGATGGCTTTTAATTTTGATCTGACTGGTGGCCTCATTTCTTGCCATTTGCCCAATTTCAGGGGGCTGGGCTGGGGCCAGAGGGGCTGAGGGGGTCTCTCTTTGGTTGCAGTGACCTGGAGAAGTCGGTGGAGAAGATCCAGCGGGATGTGTCGCACAACCACCGGCTGGTGCCGGGGCCGGAGCTGGAGGAGAAGGCCCTGGTGCTGAAGCAGCTCGGGGAGACGCTGACCGAGCTCAAGGGTGAGCCCAGAGGCGAGGAGGCGAGAGTGTGGCATGCGGTCCAGGCTGGAAGTCCCTGCTGCACCCCCACGCCCAGCCCCACCCCCAGGCACTGCCCTCCTGCTGCCCATCCTCCCTTGTCCTTGGAGCTGCTCCCTCCCCAGCTCACTCCTCTGGTCCCCTCAGCTCACTTCCCAGGCCTGCAGAGCAAGATGCGGGTTGTGCTGCGTGTGGAGGTGGAGGCCGTGAAGTTCCTGAAGGAGGAGCCACAGCGCCTGGACGGGCTTCTCAAACGCTGCCGTGGGGTCACAGACATGCTGGCCCAGATCCGAAGGTCTTTCCCTCCCTGACCTCTTATCTCCGACCTCCGATTTCCCAGGAGGTCACACACCAGGCATTGATAGATTAGCCTGACCCCTTACCCTGACTCCTCTAGAGGTCACTGGTGTGCCAACTGGATCTGTACCTCCCCGCTGACCTGTGACCCCTGGCACGGTGTAGGCTTGGCTTTCCCTGATGCTGGATGAGGTCACTCCTCTCCAGGCCCCTCCATCTGTCCTGCAAGCTCCCAGAGCCCTCCTCGCACCCTGCCTCCCCCAGGCCAGGCTTCGCTTGCATGGGGCCACCAACATGCGGGCCTCACAACTGCTCCTGACTCTCCCAACCCCAGGCAAGTGGACGAAGGTGTGTGGCCACCCCCCAACAACCTCCTGAATCAGTCCCCCAAGAAGGTGACGGCTGAGACAGACTTCAACAAGAGCTTGGACTTCGAAATGCCACCCCCCAGCCCTCCACTGAACCTCCATGAGCTGAGTGGACCGGCCGAGGGAGCCCCTCCTACTCCCAAGGGGAGCAACCCCACCAAAGGCCTGGATGCTGCTGGCAAGAGAAGCGTGGACAAGGCTGTGTCTGTTGAGGTGCTGGGCCCAGGACTGGGGGGTGCATGACCTCAGCTCACACATTCTTACCACCGTCCTAGACTGGGAAGTGCCAACACGTGGGTACTTTTTCCTGGGGGAGAAGGAAGTCTGAGAGACACGTTGATGGTGGCATGAGTTCTCCCAGACAGAAAAACATTTTCTAAAACGATAACAATCAAGGCAGTGTGGTGTTGGCCTAAGAATAGACTGTGTGGTCAATGAAACAGAGTAGAATGTTCCAAAATAGGGCTAAGTATTATCAAGAGAATAGTATATAATGGTGGTGGCATTCCAGACTTACAGGGAAAGCAGAGAATACTCAAGAAGTCTGAGGGTCCCCCAAATTTCCTTCTCCATTCCTGGCACGTGTGGCTGGGGGAAGGGGCCCCTGTTCAGGGCTGACCCCCGCTCCTCGTTTCCAGGCTGCTGAGCGAGACTGGGAGGAGAAGCGGGCAGCTCTGACCCAGTACAGCGCCAAGGACATCAACCGGCTGCTGGAAGAGACACAGGCAGAGCTGCTGAAGGCCATCCCTGACCTGGACTGTGCGAGCAAGGCCCACCCAGGCCTGGCCCCCACCCCTGACCACAAGCCCCCCAAGGTCCCCCATGGCCAGAAGGCAGCCCCACGAACAGAGCCAAGTGGAAGGAGGGGCTCAGGTATGGGGGCCGGTAGGGGACTGGTGAAGAGCCCAGAAGAGGGGAGCCCCATCTTCAGGAGCTCTCGGGTTGATGGGGGAGGCACCTGGGCGGGAGAATCTCTGGGGTCAGACTACCGGAGAGGGGAGGTGCTGGGGCCTCAGCAGCCTGACCCTCAGCTGGGGAGACCCAGAGGACAGGGGGGAGCTGGACTTCATCGGGGGCTTTTCCCACTGCCCTGACTGCGGCTGAGAGGCCCACACAGGGAGGAGAGCAAGACCAAGCGTGTGCTCTGACCCTGGCCGTGCCGAGACGGGCATGGTGCTGGTCCTCGTGGACATGGTTTTGTGTCCCTCCCCCCCCCACACCAGCCTGCGAACTCACAGGGGAGGCAGAAATCCGACCGGAAATAGCAGTCATCATTCCTTCATTTATTCATTCTTGTTCTCTGTATTTGTCAAGCACCTACTGGGTGCTGGGTGCTGGGGATAAGGAGAAAAGACACTGCTTGTTTTCAAGGAGCTTAAAATTCAGTGGGGGTGTAATACTAGCATTTTTGCTTATCAAGCACGTATTATGTGACAGGAACTACCCCAGATGCTTTCTATGTATTAATCCTTACAATTCTGCAGCAACCCCAGGAGACAGCTACAGTAATTATTCCCATTTTGCAGATGAGGACACTAAGGCTCAGTGTAGCAAAGGGATCTGTCCCAGGCCCTGCTCAGTGTGTAGACCAAACACGGGATGTGGGTGCTAACTGCAACAGTGGGGTGCAGTCCTACAGGAGGCCCTGGGAGGGCGGGGAGGGCTTCCCACTGCACATCACTGCACGTCATTTCCCCTTGAGTCTTGAAAACAAGTAGGCTTTTCCCTGGCCAGTGAGCGAGGGCATTTCAGCGAGAGGGAACAGCACGTGCAAATGCCCGGATGGGTGTGTTTGGTGTTACTGAGCGGGGTTCAGGCCAGGAAGGAGCAAGCAGAGCTGAAGCTGAAACATTGGCATGCGTGGAAGATGCTGGGCCAAGGAGCACGGACATGGTTTGGGGTCATGGGAAGCCACTGGGGCTCAAAGGCAGAGGAGGGTCGGGTTTGAGTGACTTTTCTGTAGGTTGCCCTGGAAACCGCCCCCACCCCTGAAGAAACAGGGGCAGGGAGCCCCTGATGGGTGGCGTCGGGCTCTTGCAAGTGTAACCGCTGTCTCTTGATGGAGAAGAGAGGAAGACTGGTGCAGAGCCGCAGCTGAAGGGCAGGGGGAAAGAGACGGATGGATTAGGACAGCGCTTCTCAAACTTGAATGTGTGCGTGAAATCACCGGAAGGTCCGTCAAAATGTGGATTCTGGTTCAGCAGCTGTGGGGGAGACCTGAGCTGCTGCATTTTTTTTTAAACATTCTTTTTATTTTTTAAGATTTTATTTATTTATTTGAGAGAGAGAATGAGAGATAGAGAGCACGAGAGGGAAGAGGGTCAGAGGGAGAAGCAGACTCCCGCTGAGCAGGGAGCCCGATCCGGGACTCGATCCCGGGACTCCAGGATCATGACCTGAGCTGAAGGTAGTTGCTTAACCAACTGAGCCACCCAGGCGCCCGAGCTGCTGCATTTCTAACAAGCTCCCAGGTGCTGCAGGTGCTGCTGGTCGGTGGCCCAGCGGGCCACACTTTGAGTAAACTGAGAGGGGTGCCGGGCCTGGTTCCTTCAGGAGGTGAGAGAGAAGGAGGAGGGGCCCGTGTCTTCTCCCTGAGCTTCCCTCTCCCCTCCTCCCCAGAGGAGGAAGCAACGTTTCTCCCCTGGGTGCCCGGACTCCAAGGTTAAGGGTCCCCTGACCCCCAGCCCCTTGGCTGCCCGCAGATGAGCTGACAGTGCCTCGGTACCGCACAGAGAAGCCCTCCAAGTCGCCGCCGCCGCCTCCGCCCCGCCGGAGCTTCCCCTCCTCCCACGGCCTCACCACCACGCGCACCGGAGAGGTGGTGGTCACCAGCAAGAAGGATTCGGCCTTCATCAAGGTACCAACCCCACCTGGGGCGGCGGGATACCCGAGGGGACCTCTGAAGACCCTCTGGGGCGGAAGGAAAGAAGGGGGCTGGCCCAGGGCGACTCTGCCTCCAGCTCGGGCTTCCACGGCGGGAAGGGGGGGCCGCCTGGCAGGGGACAGGGCACAGTGGAGGCGGCAGATGAGGAGCTGGGGCAGGAAGTGGTCTGGCACTGATGGGGCCGAGGACGCGAGCTGGTGCTGGAGGGGGGCAGAGCCTGGTCTTGACGGGGGCTTGGGCCTCGCAGAAGGCCGAGTCCGAGGAGCTGGAGGTGCAGAAGCCCCAAGTGAAGCTGCGCCGGACCGTGTCCGAGGTGGCCCGCCCGGCCTCCACGCCGCCCATCATGGCGTCTGCCATCAAAGATGAGGACGATGAGGACCGCATCATCGCCGAGCTAGAGGTAGGTCGGGGCATACCTGGTCCCGAGGCCTCAGCCGGCCCCCTCCCTTTCCCCACCAAGCTGACCCCGGGGTATGGGGCTGGGGGCGGGGGTGACTGGGGTCCTGTGCTCTTGCCGAGGGCTGGCCTATACGGGAACCTGTCCTTCTTGCCTCGATTTCTCTGCCACTGTAAAATGGGGGGAGGGGGTCTTTGCAGGGTTGAGCGTTTCCATTGTAGTCTCTGAGATCCCCACAACTGCCCCGAGACCCCCTAGGCTCTGACACACCCAGCCCTGAATGTTCTGAGAACAGAGTGCTTTAACACACCGATCCCCAAGTACCTTGAGCTCCCTGCCCGTACTCAAGTGTTCTCAGCCCCCCTCCCCAAGTGGCTGGAGACCCTGACCACCTAGGCCTCCGGAGGAGGAGACCAGACAGAGGGCAGAGTGGCCAGTGAGCATGGTGAGGGGCCAAGGAATAAGGCTGGGGTCCCTCCCTGTGGGCCTTAGACCAGCACCCCTGTCCTCCCTGTGCCCCCTTCTCCAAACCTGCCCCCACCTTCTGCTCCCCAGGTGTTTGAGAGAAGCTCAGTGTCTTCCCTCCCCCCCACGCCCCGCCGCCAGCCGATCCCCACCTTGCTGGCACCCCAGGATCTGGGGCCCCCTGGGGGCTCAGCCCAGGGCCCCACATGGAAGGTAACGGGCTGCCCCCCACCTCTCACGGCTCTCTCTCTGCCTGTGCCTCCACACCTTCCTCTCCTCACCTCTCACGCTAACCCGCTAACACGCCAGTCACCTCCCCAAGTCCCGCTGCTGCCACAGCCCCGCCTGCCTGGACTCACCCCTCCACGTCTCCAAGGACAGGTGTGGAGACTCTAGCAGTCTGGTATCCGGCGCCCCCCGCCACTCCCCGCGCCCCCCTCCGCCCCCCGCCGTGGCCGCATTTTTTCTTAGAGGCTTGATTCTGAGTTGGGTATTTTGTTCCAAGCTGCAGCCAGAGTTTAGGGCTGACCCAGAGCCTGGGTTTTGTCTTGGTCCAAGACTGGAGCTTGGATCCTGCTCACTACATGATTTTAGGTCCAACTCAAAATCTGACTTCATCCTGAGCCCTTGCCTAGCCCCTGCTCCAGAAGCCCCTCCTCAGCCACTGGTGCCTGGTGGGGCTCTCCCACTAGAACCTATGCCTTGCACTGGGGCTCAGGATGCCCCAGGAGAAAGGCTCACTTACAGCCTCCCTCTCTTGCGTGGCCCCAGTGGTCAGGGAACTTGGAGTAGAAGAAAGTCATGCCCTTCCTTGGTGGCTGGCTCTTTCAGCACTGGGAAGTTCTTCCTTCTCTCTAACTTCAGTCCTTGCTGTTGTCCTGCTGCACTTATTTTCTCTTTATCTTTTCTTGGGAACGTTGGGGTGAACCTGCTGTCTGCACCCCCAGGGGACTGCACTCAGGGAGGGGGCACTGGAGGAAGTGGTCTGGGAATCCCTCCCTCTTCCCAGTCAGGTTGGGGCAGGAGAGCCTCTGCTCTGAGAAGGGCAGCCTCCCCCATACACGTACTCACCCGCCTTGTCTGGTTCCCTTTGGGTCACTGTGGGCTCCATGCTGGCCACCACCTAATTTCTGGCCTGGCTTGAGACTTGTGGTGCTTTGACTCCTTGGCCAGGGGGAGCAGACAGGTGGACAAACCATCTGCTGGGCAAAGGATGAGCACAGAGCGGTCCAAGGAGCCATCCGGGGATGAGCAGTGTGCAGGGGGTGCCCCCTGGGCTGGCTGTGCCCTTGGCACTTTGGCCCACTGCACCCAGCCCCTGCCTCTCTCTGGCCTCTGGGAGCCAGACCTGAAGGGGCCCAGGGGGCAAAGCCCCTCTGCTGGTTGAGCTCGCTTACCCTCTGCATCCTGAGGCACCAGTGGGCCGTGGAACCAGGCAGGCATGGGTCGCCTCTCTGCTTTCCCAGTCTCCATCCAGGTAAGCAGGTGGCAGGGCTGGGTGGGGTGCCTTGGGAGGGGGGCTTGAGGTCCCTGCTGCCGCCCCCCGCCCCAGAATCTCCCCCATGGCTCCTTTTAGTGGAAAGAGCACTGGACTTGGAGCCAGACTGCCTGGGTTCAAATCCTGGCTCTGCCACTAACTAGCTGTGGGTGAGTGACCTTGGGAGAATCACATGACACCCACCCCCGATTTCCTCATCTGTCAAGTGGGGACCATAGAAGCAGTCACCCTGTCGTGGGTTATAGTGAGAACTCAAGATGAAGACGTATATGACAGTGCCTGGCACAAGACTCTGCTGGTCTGAATTAGACCAGAATTCACTCAATTTGGGGGTTAGTGAGTGGGGGCCTCCCCCAGAGCCAGAGCAGGCGACGCTCACACAGAAGCAGTGCTGTAGCTTTGCGGAGCATTTGTGCAGCCGAGGGATGTGAGCCCTGCCCCTTGAGGCTATGAAGCCCTTGGGAAAGCTCCAGAAGTAAGGGGCGAGGGGGCCAGGAGTCTCTGGCCTGAGAAGAGCACGACAGCCCCAGCCTCTGAGGCCAGAGGCCACTCAGGTCAATTCGACAAAGAGCTAATATTGGCCGAGTGCTTACCACGGGCTGGGTACTGCTCCAAGCACACGCCCACGTGGGCGCACTGAATTCTCCACCAACTCCGTGCTACGGTTAATGCACAGATGGGCAGACTCCTGGCAGTGCCCGTGGGCCCTGCTCCCGGAGTTTAACATGGGCAGTGAGAGGTAGGCCTGCGTCTGTGCTTCCGGGGAAACCGGCGTCCCTGCCAGAAAGTGGGGGACCCTAGTATGGGGTGGGAAGGGACCTGAGTTCCAGTCCCGGCTTTGCCTCTGACTTGCTGAGTAAACTCAGTCACCACCCTCCCCTGCGTCGGTTTTCCCATCTGTGCAAGGAAGGGGCTGGGCTCACCCGCATCTAACCCCTCATCCCAGCTCAGGGCGTTCCGTTTGCCGGGATCAGACCCTCCCTCATCTCTCCTCTCCCCGCAGGCTGCCCCAAGCCCCAGGGCCTTCTGCGTCCCCCGGATCATCTTGACGGAGTGTACCCCCAGGCCTCCCTCCCCACCAGAGGCCAGGCCTGAGGAAGCTGGTCCCAGGACAACCCCCACCCCGTGCCCCCGGACCCTGGCTGGCAGCGGGAGGGGCTGCAATGGTGCCGGGGCCCTGCCAGAGGTGGTGGCCAAGGCTTCCCAGCCCAGGAGCTGCTTGGCGCCTGAGATGGAAGGGGCAGCTCTGAAGAGACTGGGGATAGAGAGCTACAGCCCAGCGGAAGGAGGAGCTGGGGCCCCCTGCCCTTGGGCACCAGCCCCTGACGGCACTCAGGAGCCCTCCACTGCTGAGACCCAGCCAGAGAAGACCCCCAAGGACACCGGAGAGGATGCCCAACCCTGCAGTGGGGAGCCCAGGCCCCAGCCTGCTGCAGGCCTAGGCTGCACAGTGAGAGGTGCCACCACCCAGCAGATGGACAGCCTGGAGGAGACACTCCGGGAACTAGAAGCTGCCCTGAGCCAGATGGGCACAGCCCTCGCCGCGGGACCCCCCAGCAGCCCCCCACCCCTGCCACCCAGTCCCCAGGTGGCTGCCTCCTCCCCTAGCCTCTCCTCCTGCCTTCATGCTCTAGTCTCTTGGTCCTCAGAGCTGGAGGGAGTGGGGGGCTGCAGGAGCACCATGCCAGCCCCTTCCTGCCACTGGCCTTTTGTCAGCTCCTGCCAGCCTCCTGGGAGCCCGGCGCCGGGTGGGGTTTGCAGGGAGAGCCCCGGGAGGCTGGGAAGCTGGCCTACCCAGGGATCAGCCCTAGCAGCCCTGGCAGGGACCGGGTCCTCTCCCCTCTGCTCTGTACCTATAAACCAACAAATAAAGTTCTCTCCTCCTTTTCCATCCCCACGCTCCCCTCCCCCCTCTCCTGTCTGACTCTCTTTGCTTTTGTTGTTTCTCTGTCTGCGCCTCTTGAATCCCTGGAGTCCTGGACAGGGTGGTACCTGGGGTGGTTCAGGGGAGCTGGACTTGTCCATCTCTAGGGAGACTTCACCCCCATCCTCCCATTCAGAGGAAGATGTGGGTCCCACTCTGTCTGCCGTCATAAAGACCCCCCTCAAATCTCAGGCATGCTCTGGGAGACCCAGAAAAGGGTCTGGGTCCACCCTGAGGGGGGGTGATGGCAGCGACTCTCACTTTAGAAGTGGCTCCCCAGAAGGCACCTGCTGCCCCTGGGCTACTCAAGGAAACCACCAAAGAACTCTCACTGGGGAGCTGCTGGGAACCTGGCTGGGGGGGCCCCTGTCCCTCTTCTGCAGGGAGACCTTAACCCTGGCCTCGGAGAGTGGACCTGGGTCCTGGCCAGGGATGTGGAGGCAGGGAGGTCCAAAGGTCTCTAGCTCTCAAAGGGCCCACTGAAGAGGACCCAGCCCCAGAGACCCCACCCAGCACCTAGGATTCCTGTGTGATCCCACCTTCAACCCCACCTTGTTCATCTTCCTGCAGAGTGGTGGTGGCAGCGTGCCACCCATGAAGGTGGTTACTCCAGGGGCCTCTCGGCTGAAGGCAGTGCAGAGCCAGGCCGGCAGCCCCGACAAAGGCAAGCACGGCAAGCAGAGGGCGGAGTACATGAGGATCCAGGCCCAGCAGCAGGTAGGCGTGGCCCCGTGGGGGGCGGGGTTCGGCCCATCCTGGCCCCTCCCCTTCCCCTGCGGTGCTGTGCCCTCGGGCTGTGTGCCGGGCGGCTCCTGCCAGCACGCCTGTGGCCACCTTCCTGCCAAAAGCCCAGAGACCTCCTCCCTGCCAGGACGGCCCCACTGGTCCCCTGAGCCATCTTTTCTCTCCTCCTACCAACCCCAGCGCTCTGGATCTGGTTTAGAACATGTATTTTCAACCAGGCCACTCCCCTTTCTGGAGACCCCCCCACACCTGGCAGAGAAGACCCTCTCCCCAGCTGCTCCTGGAGGAGAGGGACCCAGCAGTCTTATGTCCCCGCTGGCCCGCGCCAAGGGCCAGCCTGCCCTGGGGTATGGGAGGGGGCTTCGATGTCCCTTTGTCTTCCTGCCTCTGCCTGGCTTCCTCTCCCTGCTCCCCGCCCCCTGCTCTCTGGGGGGCACCTCGCTGTCATCAGTCCTCTCTTTTGGCTCTCAGGCCATCTCCCAGCTGAGGGAGAAACCAATTTTGCATCTGCTTTTCAGTGTTTGGGCTTTGGTGGGTTGCACTGATGTCAACGGGGAAAGGGAGAAGTACTGTGGCCCCCCCGGTGGGGTGGGGACGGCAGGGATGCTGTACCCTCTGTCAGATGTAGTCAGCGGGCTTGGGGCCAGTGTAGAAGTGACAGCCCCACCCGTGGGTGCTTCTGTCCTGTGGCCCACTGCGTGGCCTGGTCAGAAGGTGCAGGGTGGTCCCTGGACCTAGATATTGAGAGAGACCTTTCGTGCACTCATTTGGTTCAGTAAGTATTTCTGAGCAGCTCCTGCGTGCCAGGCCTGTTGTGGGTGCCGGGTGGGAATGGGCGCTGTGAAATGTCCAGGTGCTGTGACCTGAAGAAGGTTCTAGGCTCTGAGGCAATAGGTTAGAGGTGGCAAGTCCAACTCCGTTCTTCACCGACGGAGCAGTTCAGAGAAGGAAAGGGGCCTCCCGAGGGCACACAGCAAGGTGGCATCAGAGCCAGGACGGGACCCAGGAATCACAAAGCCCTTCACACCCCCACAGCCCTGCGACAGCCCTGGGCTGCTGGTTCCCTGGAGGGCCCTGCGGAGACGGCCATCCCAACCCCACCTGCCCCTGACCAGCTCTCCTCCCCGGCCCCCCGCTGACCCACCATCTTCCTCGTGGGTCCCCGGACACACCGTGCAAATCCCACCCCAGCTCCTTGTCCTGCCGCCACACTGCCTGGGTCCCCCTCATCCCATGTCCATCCTTCGTGTCCAGAACAGCAGCTGACATGCGCGGGGCTCTCCCTGTGCCAGACACACGGGTTCTCTCGTTTCCCGTTCGCCATACCACTCTGAGGAAGGTCCTTCTGATGCCCACTCGAAAGATGGGGAAACTGAGGCTCTAGCCACGGCCATGCAGCTGGCGAGGGTGCAGGAGGATTGGCACCCTGTGCCTGGTCCCCTCCCCCATACACACCTTGCCTTCAGCCTCTCTAGCTGTAACTGCTCGGCCATCTCTCACCCTGACTGCCTGTTCTGGGGCACCCAGAGCCTCTCTCCAGCCCCTCTGTCACCTCTGTCACCTCTGTGGCCTCCATTCAGTCCCTAGCCCACTCGGCCTTCCCTCCAACCTCCCCCCAGGGCCCGGCTAGGCCTTCTGGGGCCGCAAGCATTCACACACACACACACACACACACACACACACACACACACACACTCATGGGGATGCTGTGTAGGCCCTCCATTCCTCTCCCCCCTGGCCAGCCCTCACCCTGACCCTCCTGGCTCCCTGCTGGGCGTCTCTCCTCTGCACACTCCTCACCTCGCTGGGCCCCGCTTCCTCCTGGGCCTCTTTGCTCCTCGTACCACACACTCCTCTCCCAGAGCGCCATCTATCCCTGCCCCGGGCTCCGTTCTGAGCCCAAGGCTGCCTCTCAGAAAATGTCACCCACCCCCGGGGCATCCTCCCACACTGGGGAGTCTCCCTCACCACCTACTGTACAGGTTGTCTCCCCCCCCCCCGCCCCCAGGGCCACAGGCAGGGCCATGCCTCTCGCTTTCACTTTCTGGTTGCTTTTCGTTACAAAGCACCTTCTCCCTAACAAAGTAATATACGTTCTTTGTGGACATTTCTTAAAGAAGCAGGGATAAAAACCATCCTATGCCTCGTTACCTAAATGCATGCCCTTCTAGGGTCTCCCTGTCACTCTGTCACCTCTAATCTATTTTCCCAGACCTGCGGGCTGGGGACGGATGTGTGTAAATTGCAGATCTGCTTATGTCATCCCCCCAGCTTCAAACCCAGGCCCACTGCTCCCTGCCAGGTGAGAAAATCAAAAGTCCTTCACCGGCTGCCCAGAGCACTTCCATGACCAGCCTGGGTTCCTTCCTCCCGGTTCTCCTGGCGCCCTCCGCCCCACACCCTCAGTTTGCTCCAGCCACTCTGGGTCACCTGGCCCTCTGTCGTCTGGGCCTGGACAGCGCTCCCTATCAGCTCAGGCTGGGAACTTGGTCAAAGTCCTCTGCCTTCTGCTGGCTCTTCCCTCATCTGTACAATAGAGACGAAAACCCAGCAGCAGGCTTCTGAGGTCACATCATACCAGGTGTGGGAAGGAACTGGGAAAGCCCCCAAGTGCCCTGCGAAGGACAGTCCCTGTCGTCCTCAGTTGCACTTGGTCATGGTCTGCACGCTTGTCAGCGCCGAGCGCTGGGCAGAGGCCTTTCTCTCGTCAGGTGGTTCTAACACCTGGGGCTCAAAGCTGCCTTTGATAATGACAAGGGAAAGGAAAATAAAAGTGTCAGGACCAGAGACACCAGAATGGGGGGAAGAGAGTTCCGAGATGGGGCTGCAACAGGGCCTTATACTACAAAGACACCAGAGGAAACAATTGAGAAAAAGCCCGAAGATGTCATGCTGGAGATCCAGGGGTGGGATGGTAGCCAGATTCGCAGGGGTGCAAGGAGCCCAGGCCTGCTGCAGATGGGAAACCATGGACCCCTCCTCTTCTACTAGGGCTCAGAAATCTGTTGCACCCCCTGGTGCATCTCCTCAGACGGTCCTGCTGTCCTGTCATCCTGCCTCCCCACCCCCCGTGTGGCTGCCTTCACTCCCAGGGTGGGAGGGTGGGTCCCAGGCCCACAGATCGGGTCAGGAGCAGGAGGACCTTTCCCAGAAGCCCCTAACTGATCTCCCCTCTCTTCCCGTTGTCCGTTCCCTAATCAGTCACTGGCAAGGAGAACGGAATTGTTCGAATTGGGTAGATTGCTCGGGACTCAACCCCCTTGGGCTGGGGGAAAGGCCCACCTCTCCTGATAGCCCAGGGCCTGATCCGGGCAAGATTTCATCAGGAAGGAGGGCGTGTGGGCAGCGGAGGAAGCGACACTGGGAGTGGCCCTGGAAGAGGCGCCAGCGGGGTCTGCCACAACAAGGTGACCTGTCCCTGTGCGGAGATCTGTGTCACAGGGCGGGGGGGGGGCAGGGCAGTATGCTGACCTGCAGGAAGAGTAGGGGTGCGGGGCTCAGCCCGCTAGGCCCTGCTAACCGTTCCCGTCTCTCCCCGCCACCTCCCCCACCTCGGCTGGAAGTTGAAGGTGACAGCATTCTGCTTCTCTGGACGTACTTGGAAGTGACAGGAGAGGGCTGGTGGGTGAAATGAAGTGACAGAAAGCTCCAGAGACAGCAGCTGTGTTACCGGAGAACCTCCGCAGCCCGGGAGAGGGCATGGGGCACGATGGGCATGTGCTCCCTCAGCTTCAGGGGAGGGGGCTCGATGCGTCCCTGCGGCCAGTCACCCGGGAGGGAAGGCGGCTGGGAGGGCCAACGGGTGCTCGCAGAGCAGTACAAGCCGCCCGGGTCTCCGCGAGGAAGGAGCGGGGGTGTCCACGCAGGCCACTGACCGCCCCTGCGGCTACTGCAGAAAGGCCTCGCGCTGGCGGCGGGCGAAAGGGGCCAGCGCCTGGGTGAGGACTGTCACCTGAGCGGTGCAGGAGTCAGGTGGTGGCCCAAGCTGGAAGGCGGGCGTTCCAAAGACCAAAGCGCAGAACAGACCCGGGCTCTCGACAAATGCTAAAGGGGAGGAAGAGAAAAAGCTTTCAACTAGAGAGATGGGTCGAGAACAAAGAGGCCAGCCGGGAAGGAATCAGCAGCCTGCTTGGGAGGCGGTGAGATGTGAGGAGACAAGCAGGGGGCTCCCCGCCCACTCGCCTTTGGGAGCAAGAACTTTGAATGGGAAAGGCTGGGATGGGAGGGGCAGGCCTGGAGCCCAGGGCTAGTGACCCGGAATCAGACGGCGTGAGGCTGTCTCTGGGCCCAGGTACCGGGACCCCCCCCGCCCCCCCCCCCGGAAGCAGGGGCCAGGCCTGGCACATGCCCCTCGGGCAAAAGCCCCAGTGAATCCAGGGATCTTGTGGCTGGGGCCCTGGAGCCTCTGTGAGTCCAGACGAACTGCGACAGGAAAGAGGGGGAGGGGTCAGAAGACCCAAACGGGGAGCCTCTTGCCTGGATTTTCAGCAAGAGAAAAGGTAGACTGCGCTGCGGGGCGAGCAGCACACCCCAGGGGAGCCACTGCGCGGGTGGAAGAGCCCGTGGGGGTCGCCAACAGCAAGGGCGAGTTCCCGGTCGGCCGGTCAGGCTGCCTGAGGCGTCCTCGTTGCCCCTGCTGGGGTCTGATAGAGCCCGCCCAGCAGCGGGGGCTCCCCCGGGGGGGGGCGGCGCGGGGCGGTAGAGCCACCCTGCCCAGACCGCAGCTGCTGCGGGAGGGGGCCCGAGGAGCCTCAGCACAGTTTCCAGCCCTCCCCTCCTCCTTCCTCTTTTTTTTTTTTAATCAAAACCAGTCCGTTATCCCACTAGTAGCTATGCAAGGCGGGGAGGGGAGGGGCGGGGGGGTCAGTGAATACGACAGAGAGAAACCCGGTCCGTGTAGCCCCAACCCAGTGGTGCTCAAAATGAAGTGTGCAGCAGGGTCCCCTAGGGTGCCTGCCCAAAATGCAGGTTACTGAGCCTGAGCCAGAGAGAGATTCTGGAGCAGGGCCCCGGAATCTGCATTTGTGACACCTCCTCCTCTGGAGGTGATGCAGATGGCTCTGGAACCATACACAAACATCCAGAATTAGTCTAGACACAGGGAGTTTGCTGGGGTGGGAGGAGGTGCGGCTGTTTCTAACTAGCTGAGCACTGGGAAGCTGGGAGAACACTTGTAGGGGCTGCAGCGGGGCTTCCTGCCTTGGGCCAGAGGCTGGAAGCAGTGAGTGCCTTTTCCTCCAGCTTGGGGGTGGGGTGGGGTTGGGGGTGGGTTCTTCAGAGTAGTGCTCCCCCGGGAGGACCCACTTGTCCCACATTGTCCCCATAAGACCTTCTGGTTAGGATCAGCCTCCTGTAGAGGTCAGAAAAGGGTCTGGCTGGGGTGCTGGCCCCTTGAGACTAAGAGCCCACCTACTCCGAGCTGGGGCCGCTCCCCTCTCCGCCCCGCACCCCTGTGGCAGCTAACCTCTGGCTTCTCCCTCCTGTCCCCTGTCCTCCTCACTCCTATCTCCCTGTCCACCTGTCCTGGGTGTGGCCTCCCTTGTGCTTCTCTGGTCTCTCTCCTCCACCTGCTCTCTCTCCTGTCAGTAACCCCGGTCCCCAAGCCTTTGGGTCCAACCCTATACTCACCCCCTCTATTCTGCACCCCCACTGTGGCGCCCTCCTCCCCATCTCAGGGGCTCACTCTCTCCAGAGGCCTTTTGCGGTTAATTTTCTCTTGGATTTGTGGAGGCTTTTCATTTTTTTTAAAACTTCAGCTGGGGGCCAGCATGAAGGAGCTCCCATCCTCTCTCTGACCCCTGACCCCTGTTTTTGTTCCAGGCCACTAAACCATCTAAAGAGATGAGCGGGTCAAATGAGACCTCGAGCCCAGTCTCAGAAAAGCCCTCGGCTTCCAGAACCTCTATCCCTGTATTGACTTCCTTTGGGGCGAGGAATTCTTCCATCTCCTTCTAGAAGCCCCCTTCCACCTCCACCTCAGCCTGTCCGCCCTCCTCACCCCTGCCATTTCTCTCCCTGCTCTTCTTCCTTCATCTCTACCCCGCCCCCACCCTAGTCTCTGGCTTGCCATAGGTGTGGCCTTCCTCAGCTCTCTACACCCATCCCCTGTTGGTGTTTTTGGTTTTTTAAATTGATTCACTTTTAATTATCTTTTTTTTTTTAAAGCAGAACAGTAAAACTAAAAACCAAAACACACCACCTTCCCTCGATTTCCTGTTCCAAAATGGCCCACCTCCTGTCATCCTCCCTCCCTTTTCTCTTTACCCACGCCTCCTCCCACGTCCATCCTAAAGCCCCCGCACCCTATGCTCCCTTCCTGAGAGCACTCCAAACAAACTCTGAGCCACGGAGACTTGGAGCGGCGAGACGCCCCTCTCCCCATCCTCGGAAACCTTCCTGGAGGAAACTCTGGACGTTGGAACAACCCCACTATCAGGCTGGCAGGGAGACTCTGGCCCTGGAGGTGCCCCAGCTGCCCAATCTTGCTGTGACCGAACTCTGCTGCTCCACTCCCTTCCACTCATGCCCCTGTGGGCCTGAGTCAAGATGGATGGGCTGGGCAGGGAGGCAGGGTTGAAGGGGCCTGGGGCGGGTGTGAGGCCTTCGAATCTGTGTGTGCTGGAGAGGAGTTGGCTTCCTGGGACTCCCTTCTTGTGGTGAGAAACCACCTAGCCTGTGCCGAGCGAGGAGCGGGCCCTTCCGGGTAGTGGGCTGTGGGCAGCCGGTTGAACAGCCAGCCTGACACTGGGGTCACTGCCCCAGAAGAGGGCAGCCCCGAGGAGGGCTATTTGGTACTTTTGGTTTCCTAATTTAGCACTTTAAATGACATTAACTTATTTAATGGGGGTGGGCAAGAATGAAGGGCCTAGAAAACTAGATTTGGGGGCGTGGAGGGTGGGAAGGGTCTCGTGGTGAGGGAAGTGGGGGGAATAGAGAGGGGCTG